GGAACCCTCTTTCATCTTCCCCTCCCTATGTCCAGCCCACCCTCCTGGTCTCACCTTGGACACCCAGCTCCATCCCCTTATTTGGCATGGTAGCCCTGCTTCCCCTCCTCTGGGCCCCCAGGGCCCTGGCTCAGTGGCCCCTCCAGAGCTTCTGTATTTGAGGATCTTAGACAAAGCCATCTGCTTGGGTGGCTTTGGGGGGGCCTAAAGGTGATCACAGGGCACCACCCTGTTCCTGCCCTCCCACTCCCTCGAGGCCACAGCTGTACTATGGCTGCCTGTTTCCACATCTCAGACCACCTGGTACCCGGTACAGCCTGGCACACAGTGGTTCACTGAATAATGTCCACTCTGTGCCCTAAGTTCCTTCATTTGCTATCTGGCTGGAGGAACTTGCACCTTCCCTGTCCCTCTCTGAGTCTCCTCTGCTAATTAGAACCTTGCTTTGATTTGCAGACTCTGAAGTTCTGGACAACATGAAGGGGTATGAATGTATGCTTGTGACACATTGCAGAGGCCTTTAAAGTGTGATATCAAATAGCATGTACAGTCAGAAGCCTATTTTTACAAAAAGTTAACTATATACAGACATAGAAAATAATTTCCATTTACTAGGACTTGAGTCTGTAGTCCTAATGCACTAAGCATTTTGCTGTGTATCAGCTGGTTATTCCTTACAACCCTGTGGGCTGGGTATTACTAGTATCTCCTGTACAGAGGTAGAAACTGAGGCCCAGAGAGGTCCGCAAGCTACTGAGGGGCTGAGCTGGACTTGACCTCAGGTTTGCCAAGTCCAAAGGTCATGCATGCTCTTCACCGCCAGGCTGGTCAATGCCTCTGTGCAAATTGGGGATAATAATAGCTCCCAGCTCTTAGGGTTATTGGGAGGATTAAATGAGCTAAGAGATGTGAAGCCCTTAGAGCAGCTCTTGGCCCAGCCTAGGGCTCAGTAAGCACAGTCACCCACAGCAGCATCAGACTGCCTCTGCGTGGGCCCTGTGAGATCACGTGCCAAAGTGTTCACAATGCTCATCTCCAGCCCTGGGGTCATGGGAGATCTTTTTTAAAATTATTTTTCCAAAATGATCAGGTAGGGGACTTCCCTGGCAGTCCAGTGGTTAAGACCTCGCGCTTCCACTGCAGGGGGCACGGGTTCGATCCCTGGTCGGGGAACTAAGATCTCACAAGCCAAGCAGAGAGGCCAAAAAAAAAAAAGAAAGAAAGAAAATGATCAGGTATTACTTGTGTATTTCTTCCTTTTTAAATTCTTACATGTATGATGCCATCAGTGAACTTGAGCACAAGGCAGGCCCGTGAATTATCTGGGTTATCTCCCCGGTCCCCTCAAGGCCTGGCACAGCGAGAGACAGCTCAGACGAGCTTCTCCCAGCCCAGTTTCTCCGGCCACTTGCTTGGCAGGAGCCAGACTGAGTTGGGGGTGTGAGGTGCAGGTCGGTGCCAGAACTGACCCAAGCTAAGCCTGCCCTTTGCTGGCCTTCCCCAAAAGGCACAATGAGATGCCTCATGGCTCTTCCGGGCCCCAGGGGAGCAGCCGTGATGGCTGAGACCTCCGGCCCTGAATCCACCAACAGCTGTGACCACTTTAGCTATTTTAAACCCTTGGGCACCAGGAGGCTCCCATCCCACCAACCAGGCGCTGTGACCCAACACTGCAGGCCCTGAGCCAGGGACAGGAGCCTTGGAGCATGTGTCAGCCGGGCCTGGGTGGGATTTTTTTTTTTAAGAAGAGGGAGTTTCATTTCTTGAGTGCTCGCCTGTGCCAGAGACTGTGCTAGTGTTTACCGTACAGTGTCTCATGTCATGTCATCCTTACATCTGGGCGGAGAGATCACTTCATTCACAGATGAGGAAAATGAGGCTCCAAATGGCAGGCTGGGTGAATTGTCCAAGGTTCCACAAAGGCGGGGCTGGGATTAGAACTTGGGATTCGTCTTCTGCCAGTTAAGAGACAACATTCCTTCCCTGCTCTTACCTGCTTTGCCCCTGCCGGCCACCCCCAACCCTCCCACCGCACCCCTGCAAATTCCTATCCTGGCTCTGCCGCTCTTAGGCGCTGTGAGACCAGACCAAGGGCGAATTCTTGAACCTTTTTGCGGCTCGCTTTCTTCATCTGTAAAGTGGTGGGGTTATTGGGAGGGTATAATGATCTAATTCCAGTGCATGAAAAGTGCCGCTGGAACAGCACCTGGCACGCAGAAAGAACGCATTAAGGGCCCACTGTTATTCGCTCTCTCCTGGCAATCACCACTTCTGCCTGATGTTATCACTCCCCTGCTCCTGGGATGACTTGCCCAGGCCCAGGTCGAGGTGCGGTGCCTCTCCCCCCACCCTGTGCCCCAGTGGGTGAAATGAGGGTGCTGTGTTCTATGATGTCCAGGAAGGTGGGGACCCTGGCATATGCCCCATATCTGCCGCATAGTAGGGGCTCAAAAGTAATTCTGGTAGAGGGATAACGGGACAAGAGCCCACCTCGGAGGCCTCGAAGTCAGCTCTGAGCTGCACAAGTTTTTTACCTCTTTGGCAGGTGGTCACCCTGCCTCCTGATTGGACGGTGCACTCAGCGGCCGCGGGAGCCTATCAAAAGCTACCAGCGTCTCCCTGGGTCTGTGCACCTTGAGGACAGATGCCCCCTTAGCCCGATTCAGGCCTTCCTCCTTCCCCACCCACATTCCTCCTAGGTGCCGGCTACCCAGGAACAGCTGGGGTCTTGACTGTCTCCTAATTTGGGCTGCCTCGAGGAGGCCGCTGGGGTCAGGAGTCTGGGTGTGTCTCAGCCTTGAGCCCTTGTGAGCCCCTACCCTCTTATTCAGACGCACCCCGTCCCAGGGTTCCCATCCCCCTAGCAGACGTACCCCCTCCCTAAACACGCATCCCCTCCAGCCTGCCACGTCCTTCTTAGAACCTCCGCCCTGTCAGGAACACCTCAGTTCCTGCCCCTTCTACCAAGGACCACTCAGTCTTATGTGAATTATCTGAACAGGCCCTGGCTTGGCTTCAGAGCTGGAAGGGTCTGGGATTCGGTGGGGGCTGCTTCAGGCTCCCACTGGGTGTCATTCTGAACCTCAGCCTCCACAAGACACGAACTGACCTCTGCAGGGGCACCGTCCTTTGCCCAGTGGCCCAGGCCAGAACGGTGCCCCCTCCATATCCCTCCACTGGAACATCAATATTTCTGTCCACCAACAGTGGTCAGATCAATCCCCTTCTCTCCAGCACTCTCAGCAGCCCCAGCAGGGGTCTTCGTGGACCCTGCCCAGGGGCACCTCCATCCAGGGCAGCCAGATGGCCTCCTTCACTTCCACCGGCAACCATTCCTTGCTGAGGAAGCCATGCCGAGGCTCCCGTCGCCACCCACCAGTGCCTTGGCTTGGCATTCTGGCCCTGCAGGCTGTTGAGTTCCCCACTCCCACCCCTCTCCCCACTTTCCCTCTGTAATACTGATCTGATTGTTGGGGGGCTAAGGGGGAGGGGGCAGGCTGCATCTGGCTTTCCGGTTTGGTCAGGAAGCTCCCTCTCCTCATTTCCCCTTAGTTTGCAAACCCCTCCTTTAAGAAGGCTCAGGTCCGGGACCCTGGGCTGGTTTAGCGCATCCACTCGCTCTGGCCCACCGCCTCCTGTCCCCGCCCCTATGACAACTCCACATTTGCATTATCTGCCCCGCAGGGCCGGGGGGCGCCCGGAGAGGCGGCTGGCCCTGTGTCCTGGCGCCGGCCAGCTGGGGGCCCACTGAAAGTATGTTGAATGAAAGAATGAGCAAATCAACCAGTGAAAGTAGGAAATTGGCAACCGCTGACATCACCCAGACCATGGGGCGGGGAGGGGGGAGGGTTGGGGTGGGCCTGGGGGTGGGGGAGGGGGCAGGGATGGGAGGCCTGGGGTGGGGCCCCGCGGGAAGAGTTGTGGGGGGCGTGGCCATGCTTGACGGACGGGCCCACAGCCCACTGCGAGAGGAGGCCGACGGGCCGCTCCGCCCACCGGCGGCAGGATAAAGGCGGAGCGCGGGGGCCGCTGCGCTTGCGGACTGCTGGAGGGGTTACCTGCGGCAAGTGCTCCAGGCAGACCCAGACGAGAGAGGACTGGCACGGGGCCGGGCACTACGGGGAAGATGCTGCGCGAGCGGACGGTGCGGCTGCAGTACGGGAGCCGCGTGGAGGCGGTGTACGTGCTGGGCACGTACCTCTGGACCGATGTCTACAGGTGAGCCGGGCCACCGCGCCGGCCCAAGACCCCCTCCGACTCCGGGCTCGGCCCGAAATCTGGGCCCAAGAAATCCTGAGACCCTCGCCAGACTCGGGGGCACGGACAGCCTGCCTCCAGCCCGAGTCGTCCCTCATCCGACGCCCCCGCGCCCAGAAATCCTAAGAACCTTGCCCAGAAACCTGACAGCCCCCAAACTTTGTGTCAGCCTCCCCGGAATCCGGAGACCCTCCCAGACACCCTGACACAGCCCCAGCACCCTTACTACTCCTTTCCAGGCGCCAGACCCTTCACCAGAGCCTTCCCACCTCTCCAGCCCCTCTCCCAGGACGACCTCAGCACCCACTCGGCTTCCCCAGCATCC